AAAATGAAAATTTGTCTACTTGAGGTAAGGTTAACATTTTACAGGTTAAAATGTTACATTTTAGAATCACATTTAAAATCACATTATTAATTATCAGAGCCTTCATTTGCAGCGTCTTCTTCTTCACTAATAACAAAGTCCTCCTCGTCAGACTCAATATCTGATACATCAGAAGCTGGAGGCTCTACCACCTGAACACCCTGCTGATCGAGACTGGGTAGGTAATTTTGGTAAAATTCTGCATGTTGAGCTGGTATTGCCCCTGTTTTGCAAAGATTTTGCAGTCCACTGAGAACCTTTTTAGGTACTGGGAAAAGTTGTGGATATTTCCTATGAAGTGGAAAGGTCTTCCAGTTGACCGGCCTTCCTCTTTTGGGTAGAATGATTTGCTTTGTAACAGACTCCCTGTCGAAATGGGTCTTGTACTTGATCAAGCCGGGGTCCTTACCATCAACCACCACTTCTCGAAACAGGGAAGTTCTCACATTTTCCCAATCTTGATGAGCTGCTAAGGGAGCAAAGTCAAACAAATCCTCTTGACTCATTTCTTTCACAATGTATTTAGGGTTTTTGACTTTGGCCATTTTCATTGCAGTGATCCATTGGGAGGGAACAAACACATCTGTATTCTTCATAAATAATTCAATTCTAGCATGCATGGCATCACATTGCATTTGAGTATGCCCGGCCTCTAGGTATCTATGAGTAATTTTCAATCCATATCTAATGGATGCCATTACGTACATGGAGAATAAATATTGATTCTTATTTTGGGCGGCACAATTGTCGCTGTAAATTCTTATTTCCTTGATACCTTTTGCAGCTTGGAGTTGAATGAAACTCCACAAGCAACTGGTAATTTCTGTGCATCCCTTTCTTCCTACTGTTTGATGCCAGGCATAACAGTAGCCCTGCTGCTCACCGGACACAAATACTGTGAAGTTATAAGTTGAAAATTTACTTTTATAGAAAAATTCCCCGTTCTCACCTTTTGGTGTGTTCATCATTTTCTGCAAATCGCATGTAATGACACACAGTTCTTTTCTGTTCTCAGAATCTGTAACAAAGTTTGCGTCAGCTTCCTTCAAGTCTCGACCAAGTGTTTTTTGAGCCAAGTGTTCTTTAATTTTTTCTTCATCTTTAGGAGTCCTGGTCTGTGGTTTTTTGTGCTTCCATGCCAAACACTTCGGACACTGGTCTTTCTTGGGCTTGTAAAATTTCAGCCTGTAAGTTTTAAAGATATCCCTATACCTTCTCAATGAGGCAATATTTTTTTCATCCATGCCTTTCCCTTGACATTCCATTACATACAAATTGTACATTTTTCTTCTGTTTAAGTTTTCATCAAGGTACCGTGCTGTTGAGCTTTTCCTGCAATAGTGACTTTCAACAGTAGGGAAGCGGCTGATGTGGTCCTTCACACTTTCATCTAGCTTCTTCCTTTCAGGTGTTTTCTTGCTCCCTTTGCCCATTTTATTAGGAGAGATGACCCCAAACTTATCTCTTCTTTTGGCTAATGCAGTTTTCATAGTTGTAGCTGATATGGCAAGAGTGTTCAGGAACATAGTCTGGCATACCTGAATTTCTTTACCTTGACTTTTAGCAGGAAGGAAATAACTATTAGAACAATTTTTTTTCGCTTCAGCTTCATCATGCACAACCACAGTCCTCTTTAAAATTTTTCCTGAATGAATATAAGCGCTAATGTAGCGCCACTTTGCAGTCCGGTCACTTAGCTTGTAGTAGCAATCAAATATTTTTTTACGTTCTTCCTCTGACACTTCCTTACAATTTCTATTGCATACTTCAGTGCATCTTGGCTTCATTTCAACTGCTTTTACTTCCTTTCCCTTTAGACTTGTGTGCTTCTCACCTGCATTTTTCTTACTTTTTGCTTCATTTTTTTTCCAGGTGGCTGGTTGGGCTGAACGAGCAGGCAGGAGAGCATTATTGTCCTCTTCTGCGACAATTACTTCAGCAGGGGTAATCTCAAGATTGTCTGCAACCAGAACCTGTGGAGGGCCAGCACTATCCACATCTGGAACTGCATCCAAACCGAAGGTGTCTATTGGTGCTAATCCATTGATAACTGTAAAAAAGTAAATCATTAAAAATATTTCTTCCTATATATAAGGTCAATTCATTGGAAATAATTAACCTTCAGACTTACCTTGCCCAAGTGGCTCCTCTATAATATTAACATCATGTGACACACCAGGAAAACCACAAGTGTTGAATTCCATGGCAGAGGCAGAAGTATTAACACGGGTTATCTCTGCATCCATAAAATCAGGATCCAAATAATCTGTAATAAATGAGTAATATTGTGTAACCAAATATATTCTATAACTTACTTATTAGTGTTTTTGAAGCTAATTTTAACTTAAAAGGATAAAAAATGTAAGGCAACATACTAGACATTTCTTCCATCTCAGTGCTCAAATCCATAAACCCTGATGAAGTGGGATTAGATGTTGGAGATGAACAATTAAGAATAGTTATTCCTCCATCTGTTGTTGTGGGTGCATCTGGAAGACAATGAATAGTAATCCATATACCATATTCCCATAAGAACACTAAAAACATTACTTTTTTAGATAGATAATTGTACTATTTTAACTCAAGAGTTACGCTGCCTTTACCCTCCTAAAACTGATAGAAAACAGACTTACCGGGAGTGTCACAAAAAGTAGTTTTAGGGAATACATTTGAAGAGAGAACAGTGAACGTATCCATAGGGGTTAATGTTCCATTGGAGTCAACATCTTTGAATAGTTCTCTCCTAGCTGGAGGATCTACAATGGGTAAACAGGATTTTATTAACAAAATGTTCAATTTAATTTAAATCATTTTGAGAGATAAATATCTGGTTACCTCGCTCCTTGGTGATGATGTTCTCCTGATCTGTTGTGATGCGCATTTCATCGGTTTCAACTGATGCAACTCTTGGGTATGACTTTTCCTTTGAGGGTGTCGCTTTATAGTCACAATTTGTGCTGCTTGCCAGATCATTCACTAGACAGAAAAGAAAAGTTAACAGAGAGGCAAATCAAAATAACAAAATAATGTGCAGCTTTAATAACTACCAACAGAAACTTACGAGGTGCACGCTGTTTCCTATTATCCTTTCCATCTGTAGGGGTTGTATGTAAGATTTCAACTCTTTTAGAATGAGGCTCTGTGAAATAATCGTACCAAATTAGTGAATCTGAACCACATTGTGAAGCCCATGATAGTTTAAGAATAGTTAAATCACTTACTTGCGTTGGCTGGAAGCACATTTCTTTCAAACTCCATGAATCCTTCCTCAGAATACATCAGTGGGCATGGGCTCTCTGGTGGCACTTGTTCTAAAACAGATTAAGAACATTTAATTCAAGTATAACGCATTTTCAGGGCTAACATGGACCTAACCTCCAAACTGAGAGGCTGTCCATACAAGAAGGGTCAACAAATGATCAAAGTACGTTACGAACAGCAAAATGAATCAAAAAATTTACTATTTGCCGGATTTTTTTTTGTTTCAGTGCAATGAGAGATGATGAATGCGTTTTAATGAGAAAAGCATAACCAAAACCACCAGTTTGCGTGTCCTGGTATGCACTTTAGAAAACTACCAAATATGAATAATCCCCAAAAAGATAAATATTACGTTCCTCACCTTCATTTCTCTGGAGGGCAAGCGCCACGAGCAACGCTGCTCTTGAGCGTGACATTTTCTTTTACGTTCCTCCTCACCGGCCAG